TGAGATTCAAAAATTAAAATTTCTGGCATATGCCTCGAACTGAGTGCCGAACCTGACTGGGTGTAGCCATGCGAAGTGGTGGCCGAGCCTGCACGCCCGTGCTGAGAGACGTGAGGCCAACTGCAGTGGCCGATCGTTGACTCGCACGAGAGCTACCGCCGCCATCACCGAACGCCAAACTCCCCAGGTCAGTGTGTACGGCAAAACCTTGACCTTATAGCTGGTATCTGAGTGGGTACATGCACGCGCCCCAGTGCCCCACATATGCAGCGCCAGCGTGTGTGTCACCTCTCGGGTGACAGTGCATTAAACCCAGTCCGACCCTGTCCTTTAGGGGTCTTTGAACCAGATCTTGGTCAAAGTGTATATGGATCTTTCGAGTCGTTGTGCGAATGCCCTAATAAACAATCCCCGGTGTATGAGGTTTGTTGATTAGTTTCCCATGCCACATGCGAGATTTTCTCGAGATGGCGAGATAGTAGTTTCCGTAGTAATGTGGAGGCGGAGCCTTGAGTCTCGACTGGAGACCGACTCTGCGGGAGGAATCGCTATTGAGTATCTCGTCGTTACTCCCGAAGCCGCATACGAGGTGTTACTCGTGTCGGCAATGGGTGAGGCCTTATCATCGGTATAAAACAGAATCATGTGTCTGAATGTACCAGTTTGAGTATAAGTATTGTTTGTCTTTCCTGTCATGATTTCTTGACCAAGTCAATAGTTTAGCCTGATGGTTGACTCCACCACTGGGACTTGCGAGGATGCATGACACGTTCTAGCCTCGTGATGAGGGGAATGTGTGCGTGATCTCGAGGTATGTGTGAATCGTGACGAGCTGCGTGGTAGGCAGAACCCTAACGATATGGAGGTACCGGTGACCTGTTGGGACCGATGGTCCATCAGGGAGAGACCGGGAGGGGTACTCGTCAAAGTCCGGTGGGTGTAATCAAGTCGAGGGCGAGACGACATGGTAGAGGAAGACCAAGATTCGGAGTGAGTACCCTAAACTCACATTGTGATGTCCCCTTTTGTACTATCTTACCTTCTAGTTGTGTGTTTTCGAATAACGAGGACGGAATTCTTTGTAAGGTGGGTAGACTGTAACGCCCCGTTTGAATAAGAATTATTTGGGATTTTATTGATATATTATTATTATCATATGCCCATAATTATTAATATTATATTATTATTATTATATTATTATTATTATTTGTTTAATTGCTAATAATTGCCTAATTGTTTAATTGCCTATTATTAATAAATGATTACTGTGTGTATTAAATATATGTATATATAGCCGGTTTTATTTTATTTCAAACCGTAACTAGCCGTCTTTCCCGTATCCAATTATAATGGCCATCTAGCTATATTTTTTTTTCTCGGCCCAATGCCAAGTAAGACTCGGCCCAAATGAGGTAAGATTTTAGCCCAACCAATTCTTTTACTCTCTTCGTCGATGTAACCAAGTGGAGAACCCTTATTCTTCTTCGATCACCACCGCGCAGTCCCTATATCTTTTATCTCTCTCTCTTCAGTTGATCGCGCACAGAAAATCCCTCCCCATCGCAGACCTCAATCGGTAGCCGTCGCACCCTCACTTCCTCGCCACAGACCACCACGAGAGACGTGCAGCGACCCTTCTTCACCTGATCGCGAGCCATCGGACGTCTTGTCAGAGAAGGGAACACCACGTCGGCCAGGGAGCAGCAAATCATCTCCATCATCATAGCGCATCATCATCTCCGTCCATTGCAACCAGGTTCCGTAGACAAGATTTCCAGTGGTCACCCTCAATTCCCCCGCTCGCGCAGCCCTCCTTAGGATCATCATCACCATCGCAATCGTCGGACCACCGTTCTTAGCCTTCGGATCCCGTCGAGTCCCGTCGGAGTGTCAAGCATAGTTGTTGAGTCCTGTCATGTTCCGTCGGAGTGCTGAACAAGACCGGAAAGTCTCGGCATATATTTTTCCCTCCCGCTGCGATCAGTTACAGAGCCACCGTCTGTGAACCGCTGTTCGCCTTTTTCTGGCGTCCCTCCGTCACCACGAGAATCGCCAGCAGCGACCCTCCGTCGACGGTCCTGCTGTTCCTCCGGCGATATTACCTCCATCGCTGCCCTGCTATGCGTGAGCTTCCGACCCCGTTCACGCCGCTGCAACTTCTCGCCAAGCGCGCATTCCCCGTTTCGCCGTGCACAACCTGCTCGTAGTCTGTCGTTTAACACCCTCGAGCGTCGTCCTGTTCGTGTGCAGTAGGTCCCTTACTTCGGCCGTGAGAAGCAGGCCTTTGAGTAGCCGCATCAGGGTCCGATATCGTGAGTCTTATTCCCAGCAAAACGTGGGCTGAAGTCGAGCCCGATGAAAAACCGAGCAGCAGCGCCCTGCCTAGTTCAATCGTGAGACGACGAAGCCGTCTCGCCGCGTATCATCGCCAACAACCCCGGTTCAGCCTCTTCTCTACCTTCTCGTGTACCCTTGGTATGAATTTCATGTTAGGGCATTTAAATTATATGTTTTAGTGAAGATCTTGGTTGGTTATTGAGAGATCATCTAGGATTATGTTAATTTCGTGTTAGGGCTGTGGTTTGGAACACGTGTGATCCTTTTGCCTTATGGCCAAGGCCTTGGACGAGTTGGTCGAGTTTCGAGTCATTTATGATTTTATCGAACCTGTATAGTTGCTGAAATTTGATAAATTCACTAAAAATGTTATACTGATCCGATTGCTATGATATTTTTACTGTATCTGCCTCTCGTCATTGTGTAGCTCTTGTATAAATTTCAGATTTTTTGGAGGTTTGTAGCTATTTTTAAAAATTATAGTGATTTCTGGTCAGATTCATGTTTAATTCATAATAAATTATGTAGTGCTCCAAAATTCATGAAATTTTAATAAGTTGTCAATCCGCCTGATTTGGTGTCTGCATAAAATTTATAGAATTTTTAAACTGATATTGATAGGGTAAATAATTTATTTACGGTTTCTACTGCATAGTGTTTTAATTTTTATAAATTGGTTAATTGCTGAAAAATTCTGATTTTTGGCTGAGATACTTGTTTGTATTGATTTTGGTGCTGTAAATATATTAGAATTTCTAGAGTTCAAAATGTTTTGGTTATACTTAAAATGCGAAAATTGCTGAACGTTGTAGTAATTTTATTAATTCGCATGTTAGGTGTTTAAGGCTGAGATTTTCAGAAACTACTATTCATATGCTGAGGTTCCTTGGATAAAAAGTTTAAAGTATGAATCATTCTTTTGATCTGGTCGTTAGTTTATGCCCTTTTTTGCTTAAACTTGCTCGAATTTTATAAAATAGCATACTTTGAATTTGGGGCTGAAAATTAGTGATTATACTAAGTTCTGAGAGATGAGTTTTTGGAAAACATTTCAGAGCTTAGCTCTTTTGATAAGCTGACCAACTTATTTTTGGTGATTAAAAACTAGTATTGGATGATATATGCTTTTGCAATAAAAACTGTAAGTTGACTCGTTGTACATTTGACTTGGTCAATATTTGTTTTAGATTATTTGAACTCTCATGTGTATTTGGTTGGGTCCTAGTGTCGGGTCTAAGTGTTCCAACGTCCACAGGACTTCACGAACAACTTAGTCGAATCAAGTTTGACTAAGCATAATTGTGATTTCCGTTTAAGTCAAAGTAGTTGTTGATTGTAGCATCTAGACTTAATGTAGGTGCTTGAGGAGTTAAGCCTCAATCTACGTCCTTTCTGATTTTGCTATCGTCGATCCAGTATTGTAACACCCCACTTTGATTTTAAATAAATTCCGGACTTTCCAAAAATCAGAATAAAATTTTCGAAACTCATTTTCGAAATCTTGGGCGTTATACAACAATAACATCAACCAAGTCATATCTGGTTGTTCACATGGTTTTCATTAACCTTTCAAAACCCAACTCTTCATGGATATTTGCTAAACACTATAGCATGCACATAATGTTCAAAAGACAATACCCTTATGAATATCCAAAACCAATCAGTTGACCAAGTTCTCAAAATACGTTTTGAAAATAGTTCAAAGCATCTCAACAAAAGAGGTTCTCAGGCACCACATATTATTCATAAACGGAAGCATAATCATAAAAACTTAATAAACCATCGACCCACTCGTCATCCCCCGTCATCCGGCACCTACTTAACCTACATCCGTGAAGAGCAGGTGGGAGTGAGCACAAGAGGAAAAATAGTGCTCACTACTATGCACATAAATAATATATATCCAATGGTACGGTCGCAGCATGAATATAAGATAATCACATATTGTCTCATCTCCTATCAAAATAACAACAACCACATTACTCCTGTGCACATCTATCGCGAGCCGCAGAACGGGGGTTCATTACCCGAAGGCGGGAGTACATGCCACGCTACAGACACGGCCTTCCATATGGGCTTACGTACCTCGCAAGGGCACGACCATATCAGGACTTAAGGAGACTTGCCTCGCAAGGGCAACCGTATTACATCGACGGGGACAACCGTACCGACGGCCGTAACAGCTCACATCGATAGGCTACATATTTCATATTCATACTTAGATCATACCGTAAGTAAAACATTCATCATTCATGGCATAGACGATTTTAGGTTAGAACCCACCTGGTGCAGCAAAAAGGGAAACATCACAAGCAAGGGTAGGCAGCGAGCACGACTCGTCAAACACCTACAACAGATATTATACTAAGATCAACACTTTT